GCATTTCTTGCAGGTGCTAATGTCTCCACCTTGAATGCTCCCTCCATAGCAGTGTTGTATATCTCTATTTTGACAATGATTTTTATTTTATATCATAATTATTGATCATCTTAAGTTTTCCTTTATATATCAACAAACATCAGAGGAGGAGCCTTGCCTAGTACCTCTGTATTTCTGGCAAAGGTATGCCCATATCTTGAATATAGTAGATCTTAGTTATTTTAACTGAATCTTATTTACGTCATGAAGCCACAAAGGCCAATGGCTATCAACCTAAGGAGATAAATTTAAAAATTAAAATATTATTGAAGTGCCCCAATATGAACAATGCTAACATAAAAGTTTTTTTCATTATAAAGTACACATGGCAGTATGGGAAACAGTAGTTCAAGAAATCAATAACATCTAAGAAGTATATATGTATATGTTTGTGTAAAGTTATATATACATATATATACACACACGTATGTTTTGTCTCTCCCTACATATATATATGTATACATATATATACATATATATATAGAGAGAGAGAGACATAAAAACATTAGCACAATAAGCAAAAGATAAAGTAAACAGAGAAAGAGTAACCCAATATGGAGGTATAAAGAAGGAAGGAATGAGACGTTGTATCAGCTTTTCAGAGACAGCTTCCCTGAGATGATGAGTCTTCAGTGTTAAGAAGGCCTCTGCCATATTATCTAACTAAAGAATACCTAGAAATAAATTTAACCAAGGAGGGGAAAGATTGATACAATGCAAACCATCAAACATTGATGAGAAAAATTGAAGAGGATACAATTAAATTGGAAGATATCACAGGTTAACGGATTGGAAGAATTAACATTGTTAAAATGTCTGTACTATCCAAAGTGATCCACAGATTCAATCCAATCCTGTTAAAATACCAATGAAATTCTTCACAGATATAAGAAAACACAATCCAAAATGTGTATGAAACCACAAAAAATCCCAAACAGCCAAAGCAATTTTGAGCAAAAACAACAAAGTTGGCATCATACTATCTGACTTCAAAATACTCTACAATACTATAGTATCCAAAACAGCATAGTACTGACATAAAAATAGACATATAGGCCAATGGAATGGAATAGACAGCACATAACCAAATCAACACACTTATAGCCAATGAATTTTCAACAAAAGTGCCAAAATCTCACATTAGGGAAAGGAAAATGTGTCTTCAGTAGACAGTGCTGGGAAGCTTGAATATTCACATGCAGAAAGGTAAAGCTACACTTCTATTTCTCCTCATATACAAACAACAACTCAAAATGAATTCAACCCTTAAATGTAAGACCTGAGATAACACAACTACTAGAAGAAAACATAGGGGAAATGCTTCATGACATTGGTCTAGGGACAGGCAACTGAAACAGAAATAGAAAAATAGAATTATATTGAACTAAAAAGCTTGGGCATATGAATGGAAACAATCAACACAGTGAAGAAACAACCTACAGAATGGGAGAAAATATTTGCAGACTATGCATTCAAATTGATAAGAGGTTAATATCTAGAAAATACACAGAACTTAATAGCAAAAAAAAAATCTTATTTTAAAATGGGCAAAAGATGTAAATAGACATTGCTCAAAAGAATATATACAAATGACCAACAGTTATGTGAAAAAATGCTCAAAATCACTAATTACTAAGGACATGCAAAACAAAACCACAGTGAGCTATCACCCCCCTCCCATTCGAATGGCTATTATCAAAAAGACAAAAAATAACAAATTCTGGTGTGGATGCAGAGAAAGAGGAACACTTATACACTGTTGGCGGGAATGCAAATTAGTACAGCCATTATGGAAAACAGTATAAGGGTTCCTCAAAAAATTAAAAATAGAGCTATAATATGATCCAGCAATCCTACTGTTGGATAAATCCAAAAGAAATTAAAACAGTATGTTGAGGAGATACTTGCACTTCCATATTTATTACAGGACCATTCACAATAGACAAAATAGGTAATAAACCTAAGTGTTCATCAACAGATGAATGGATAAAGAAAATGTGGAATATGTACATAATGGAATACTATTCAGCTATGAAATAACGAACGCAGCTATAAAATAATGAATGTTTGTTTTACCTAATATAATGTCCTCCAGATCCATCCACATTGCTGCAAATGATGGGTCTGTCCCAGAGCCAGCAACATGGATGGATCTGAAGGACATTATGTTAAGTAAAATAATCAAGGTACAGAAAGACAAATACTATATTATCTACTCATGTGTGGAATCTAAAGAAGTTGACCTCATAGAATTAGAGAGCACAATAATCGTTAGCAGTGGCTACAGAAAGGGAGGTAGAAGGGAGAATAGAAAGAGATCGGTCAATAGGTGCAAAGTTACACTTTGGAGGAACAGATTCTAGTGTTCCATTGCAGAATAAGTTGACCATTTAACAATATTGTACTGTATATTTCAATACAGCTAGAAGAGAATATTTTGATCATTATCATCAAATGTATATACATCATTATACATCAAATGTATCAGGTAATGGATATGCTAAATAACCTGATTTGATTATGATACAGTGTGCAGACATGTATCAAAACATCACACCATACCAGATACATATGGACAGTTATAATGTATCAATTTTTTAAAAGTTTGACTGTGCTTGTTTAGTAAATTTAAAATAAATCCTTAAATATTTTGATAGTATGAAAGATTTTCCAAAATCTGGACAAGGCCCATGTGTTCAATTCCAAGTGATTGGACCCATTTGCAGGTTAGAAATAGCCATATAGCTAGGCATGGTGGCTCACACCTGTAATCCCAGCACATTGCAAGGCCAAGGCGGGTGGATTGCTTGAGGTCAGGAGTTTGAGATCAGCCTAGCCAACATGGTAAAGCCCATTTCTACTAAATTTACAAACATTAGCCTAGTGTGGTGGTGGACACCTTTAATCCCAGCTACTCAGGAGGCTGAGGCATGAGAAACGCTTAAACCCGGAGGCAGAGATTGCAGTAAGCAGAGATCATGTCACTGCACTCCAGCCCAGGTGACAGAGCGAGGCTCCATCTCAAAAACAAGCAAACAAAAAGAAATAACCATATAGTGAAAAGATGTTTAGAATTACCTTATTTTCTATAAATGTTACCATGTTTGAAAAGATTCTAGAGGAAAAGATGTTTTCTAAATCTTAATAATGTGCATATTTTAAAAATAAATTGACAATAGAAAAATAAAATACGTAATAGACGATCATTTATCTGGATAATATTTTAAACCAAAAAATCATTTTAGTAACAATTGAAGAATGAATTAAAGCATTACAGAAAGTATGGGGGAAAATTCAGTCCTACCCATTGGCAGAGAACACTTAGTGTCACAGTGGCCTAAATCAAGAGACAATCAGATTAGAACAGGCCTCGGTACTGTGTTATGGTGAACTGACTAGCAATGCCATGTGCGATGCTGATTTTCAGAGATTTATATTTTGGCAAGTTAAAACTGTTTTATACCTTTTAAAAAATAAAGAATACATATTTTTATTTACAATCTATTTGCAAAACAGGAATATATATGACATGTGCAGATGTTATATAATCACTGCATTATTCTACAGTTAATGTCTAAATATTGGCAATTATATTAATCTGAAAGAGGTCAGGCCTTAGTTTACCATATAAGGAAATATATTCAATGGTGAAAAATGGGATGCTGGGATATTTACAAAGTCAAAGTAACTTTATGTTATTAGAGTTTAGATATGAAAGCTGTATTAATCTTTAAAACTGTGGAGTAAAATATTTATAATAATTAAAGATTAATTATACATTTTCCTAGTTAGGGATATATAGATATCTCAAATGTATGTACAATGTGTCAAATTCCTGCCTATCTTGTGATCTATATAATATCCTTTTTTTTTTTTTTTTTTTTGACAGACTCTCACTTGGTTGCCAGGCTGGAGCACAGTGGTGCGAGATCTCGGCTCACTGCAACCTCTGCCTCCCGGGTTCAGGCGATTTTCCTGCCTCAGCCTCCTGAGTAGCTGGGACTATAGGCACATGCCACCATGCCCAGCTAATTTTTGTATTTTTAGTAGAGATGGGGTTTCACCATGTTGTCCAGGATTATCTCTATCTCTTGACCTCGTCTCAGTCTCAGCCTCCCAAAGTGCTGAGATTACAGGCATGAGCCACCACGCCCAGCCAATTTATATAATTTTAAAAATTATTTTTCATTGTCACAATACTTTTGAACATTCGTCCACATTTTTTTTATTTAAAACTTTTTCCTTGTTAATTTAGGTTTGTGCTTCTTTCTAGTCATCAAAAAACCTTTATAATAACAGCACGCAAATATTCCCACAAATTTCAGTATCTTCCTGAAGACTTATTAATTCCTTACTCTTCGTGTATTACACAATAATATTTCATATTACATTCATTCTATGTAAAATTAATTCAACTTTTATTAAATACAATTGTAATGACTCCTTAAATATTTTCATTTTTAGCACAATTAAAGCTCTATTTCTAAACCAAGTCAAAAGCGAACATGACTAAAGGAAATTAAAGATATATCTCTCCTAAAACTAAAGCCAAATAAATTTCAAACAGGTTTCTTCATGTGTTTAATAGCTATTCACCATTTGCAAATGGGGAAATCAAAATCTCTCCTTTTGAGAAATACTTTCCACAAAACCCAAATCAGCCAGCAAAATGTATAACTATGTATGTTATAGGGAAACATAGGAAAACTTACATATTAAAAAAATATGTTAGGACATATTAAGTTAAAAAATGTTTTAAAGAGTTAACATTTTAAATTTAACCACATAAAAATAAGTTGTCCTTTATATTTAAGTCCTCTAATCTTTAAGGCAAGCACATATTGGTTTTTGAAAGGCCAGAATAGAGAAACTATGTTTTCAAATAGCTATGAATTCATGCTGCCTGAATTAGGAAAGTATCCTAGCAGAGTAGGGTGGAAATACTGTACCTTAGTTCATACCTGGGTAAAGAATGGTTCATAAATCTCAACTCCTTTATCAGATCCTTGCAGCAAGACCTCCTGGCCACGTCTCCAGCTATACCGAACAGGAGGATTGGAATTGGCAACACACCGGAGGAACACTGTTCTCTCATAGTAAAATTGTTCTTTAGCTTCACCTATACTTTGATGAACAGTTACTACTGGATCATCCAAATCTAGAAGAAATAAAAACAACCAAATGGCAATGTTATGAGATAGATGACTTTTAAAGAATTGTGCATATACGACCCAACCAAAAATGCATATTCCTCGTTGACTGTATTACTTATCACTAGGTACTTTTTTTTTCACTCAGCTTATTGAATTCATTTGCAAAGATGTTTCCAACGATAAGAAGTATATTAGTATCTCTATTTGTTGATATAGTACAAATAATCTTGTATATTTCCAACTCTTTTTCAATAGCCACATAAAACAGGGTTCCATGATAGAGATAAAAAATTAAAATTAAAACACTCAAATTCAAGACCTTAGCCAAAACAACGAACCCCAGTGACCAAAAAATTTAATATCAAGCTGCCTGACTTACTCTTTCTCTTTTTTCTTTTTTTAAAACAGGGTCTTGCTCTATCAACCAGGCTAAAGTCCAGTGGCACAACTCAGAGCTTACTGCAGCCTCAACCTCCTGAACCCAAGCAATCCCTCTGCTTCAGTCTCCTGAGTAGCTGAGACTACAGGCATGTGCCACCATGCCCGGCTAATTTTTTTTTTTTTTTTTGGTACATACAGGGACTGGCTATGTTTTTGGTACAGAAAGGGACTGGTTGTTCTTAAACTCCTAGCTTCAAGCGATCCTCCACCTCGGTCTCCCAAAGTGCTAGATTACAGGCGTGAACTACTATACTAGACCTCTTTGTCTTAATATACTTCTTTTTCCAATTATTTATAACTGATATATTAAAAATAATAAAAAAACTTTATAAATTATTAGACTATGTTTTGTACCAAAATATGATCTTGCACAGGACTAAATGTTATCTCAAATTTTATATTCCAGATTATATTTGTTAATTTGAAGAGTGCTAAAAGGCATTATTAAAAGGCACTCCTATTTCTATTACTGGATATTGGAACCAATTATGTGTCATTTTGCATGTATCATAAAGAAAGACTGTACAGCAGAGGCTCAGCATTTTCTGAAAAAGGTTGATTCATAAATACCTTGGGCTTTGGAGGTCAAATGATTGTTTCCACTACTTATCTCTACCATTTCAGTGTGAAAGCAGTCTAACACAATAGGTAAATTAATAATGAATGTTGCTGAGTTTCAATGAAGCTTTGTTTATAAATACAGACACTCCTCAACCAGCTTTGGCTACAGGGCCATAATTTGCCAACCTCTGATATGGCATATTCCAGGTTATTTTCTTAAGAGAAAAATAAATTTTAAACGTGTACTTGCTTTAAAGCAGCAAGTTCTTAGTTCCATGTGCTAGAATAAACTTAGTATATACTTTAAGTATAATACTAAACCTGCTGTGTTCATTACCACCTTCACCCAGCTTTACCCCTTTGAATTATAACCAAGAAAGGTTACTTAACTTTGGAGTCTTCAATTTCCTTGTCAGCAAATCAGAATAATAATGATACCATATTATTTAGGCTGTTGAAGGATTAAATTAGATAGTCCACAAAGCCCTGGACACAGAGTTTTAAGTTGGTGCAAAAGTAATTTCAGTTTTTGTCATTACTTTTAATGAATGCTTAATAAAAGTTAGCTATTACTATTATTAATAATATTATTACTATCATTATTGGAGTGTCATTTAAACTCCTATAGATTCTACGCTGTTTTCTTGTTTTTATTTCACCAATTCATAATACATTCAACTCTTATTATAAATAAGTAAAATGCCACTTGTCCATTGTCCAGACTATCAAACGCTTCTACATGACAAAAACTTTTACAAAGGACTGGAAATAACCTACAGTATTTATGTGGACATAAGAATAGTGAAGTGTGTGAGCATATGCTACCCTGAATATTTAAAAGACATTGGTCCTTAGAAAAGATTCTGTCTGATGTGTTAACATAATAAAAAGCCAACCAAAGTAGTGAAGTAATAGCTACCCTAGAGAATCAAAGTAAAGAACAGAATCTAAAATTTCCCCATTCTTTAAAAAGTTTTTTATTTTTTTTTCAAATGTGATTTGCTTGACAGTCCTACTTTGATTTCTAGTTTTGCAACATTCTGAGGGTTTTTTTTTTTTCTTCCAACATCAGAATATTTTCACAGCTACCTCAAAGGCCTCTAATTTTAGTAGTGTAAATTTACAGAACAACTGCTGCTTTTTCGTAAAGCTTAAAGGAACTTTCCATTTAAATTCACTCTATTAGCTGTGCAGTGATACATGCTGTCAGGTTTTATTAAGTTGGGATATTTAGGGATACCAGCATCATTATCATAAAATGTTTTGAGATTTTAAAAATCTATCAAATATTTATTAATTTGGTGATTAGCCTTTCATATATATCATATATATTGATTAACTGAATTTAGCCTTAGTAACTTGAAAAAAGATACTCTGATTCAATTGTAAAAAATTTATTTTTTTTCTTGTTCAAAACATAATTTCTTTAGTCACAGGCTCATTTTTAGAAGTTATGAGCTGTATATTTTGTAAAGATTGAATTCTGAATTCAGAAAGCTCAGGAACAAAACAGAATTGGATGGTAAACAGTGTAACAATGATGACTTCCGAACAGTTAATAGGGTTGTACTTTCCAACACCCATTTATTGATGTATCCCCAGCTGTTTTCTTGTTAGGTGGTAGTGTCAACAGACTCAGTCAGGAATAGACCAAACCTGTTCTTCCCTGGTCTGGATGACTTGTGGCTCATTGGTCTTCAAGATTCTAATTTTGTGACAATGGCTTATTGTACTGGCTAGGTTATCTGTTGAATTCACTCATGCTTAGAAATTTCTAAGTGTTTTTTACATTTCAGATTTAAAAACAACATGCCAGAACAACATTTGTGTAAGACAAGTGAAATGGGAGCACAGCTAAAAATATATAATTTTAAGGGAGATTATATATGTATGTTTGTGTGTGCCTACATCTATGCACATGTGTAGATACACATAATTATATATAATAATATATAATGTAAATAACACATATCACTTAATTTATTTTAATATATATTCTTTATATTACTAAATATATATCGAATATTTGTATTTGAGTTAGGACAGGTTTCTGAGAAAACAGATTCAGAGATGTGTGTGCAGAAATGGTTCTGGTAAGTACCTTATAGATCAACACATGTGAGAGAGTGAAAGAAGTAGGATTGATCAAGGGGAGGGTTGAACTACAAAAGGTCTCAGTAGACTTGCAGAACTTTCTGAGCTGTGATAGCCCCTCAAAGCTGCCCTGCCCTGAGGCAAAGGTGCTCAGCCTTTATACACCCACCCCCTCCCCTATCAACAGGTCATTCAATTTATGTTACTCCTCACTAGGAGACATAACCTTAGGAGGGCCTGCTCTGTACAGCTTATTTCTAGAGAGGGCAGTTCTAGCTGACAGCAATCATCTGCTAATACTCTCAGCAGTGGGAAGAATGAGTGCTTCAGTCCCGAGGAAGGGATGTGACTGGTGCACTGCAGTATCTTGCTAGGTGTGATAAATCTATCTGGGAAAAGCTACTCCAAGACTCTGGTTAGTCTCTTCCTGGGAAAACTTTCAAAAGGAACTATAGTAGGACTATATCCATCATCTCCTTCTACTATTGCCATTCCAGATTCCTCTCACCCTGGGCTAGTACATTTTTTGGTGTAGGTAGCTTACCTTGTTGCATTACTAGAATTTTGTCAAATTTGAGCCCTTGATCATCATATCCTTCTCAAACCAAGGTTGATGTACTTGTCTGTTTATGACCAAAATTGAACAAGAGAATACCAAGAAATGACTCATTGCATTAACTGGGTATCAAACATATTGTTCCCTGCCTCACTATGTAACGACAGTCCTACCAACACAGCCTCATATAGGCTGGTCACTCCCACCAGGATAGTGACTCCTCTTATCTGCTGCTTCCTGACACAGAAGCCTAAAGTAGCTGAGCTGATGCCATGGCTTAAAGATTAATGGGACTCTTGCTATGTCACTTAATAGAAGGTTTTTCCCTTTCTGGGAACTGGGACCTCTAAACTGGCAGAGCCCAGAGTTGCAGGAAGGAAAGCATTCCCCCAGTGGGTCATTGGATGTGATGATAGTGAGGTCACTTCTTGGTTCTTGGACCTGTGTATTCTATAAGGAGAAAAAGCAGCATATAATAATGGTCATTGATTTAGAATTTAACTGCATCCTGGAGGGTAGCACCCACCCCTTACTGGATATTTTCTCTGTAAAACTCAATTGCCCTCTCTAAAAGGCCATTCCATCTCTCTATTAAGTTGGCAATTTTAGTTGATGTAATACATGATATGACCAGATAATCCATGGCAATGTGCCCACTCCGGAATCCTGATATCCAGGTCAATTTGGATCCTGTGTATGACATCTCTCAAAGTATCTCAGGAGTCCATTTTCCCTAGTGTATGATTATTCAGGTAAATGGATGTAGATTTTTTGCAGAAAGAACTGAGAGAATAATTACCATATACATTTGCTATGGTGTTTCAGGGTTCTTTCTGGTGATTCAGTTGAAGTCTTCAGTTAACAAGCTCAAAGTCTGAAAACTGCCTCAGGTACAGTAATTGGACAAGGATGGTGGCTTTTTCTTAGGCAGCCATATGCAGACTCTTATTCACCCATTTTTAATTTATTTAAATTGTGTAGATTGTGCAATAGTTTGTTGGCTGTCCACTTATTTTCCCCTAGAGATGCTGTGTTCTGTTAACCATCTCCATAGCTCTCTGTGATTCTGGAGTCTTAGATACATTTGAACAAGCCATTCATTAAGATAAGTGCACCTGGCTGGGCACAGTGGATCATGCCTATAATCCCAGCACTTTGGGAGGCCCAGGTTGGGTGGATCATTTGAGGTCAGGGGTTTGAGACAAGCCTGGCCAACGTGGTGAAACCCATATCTACCAAATATACAACAATTAGCCAGGCATGGTGGCAGGCACTTGCAGTTCCAGCTAGTTGGGAGTCTGAGGTGGAGAACTGCTTGAACCCGGGAGGTGGAGGTTGCAGTGGGTCAAGATC